CAGTCTAGAGTAAGGCATCCTACAGTTAGAAAAGATCAGTGTGCTTGGTGCAAGGAGACTGATCATTGGAAGAAAGATTGTCCAAAGCTTGACGAATGGATGAAGAATAAACAGAAGGGAAAAATAAAGCTACCATCATCAGAAGCAAATATCGTTATATTGGATGATAATATTTCTGATACTTCTATTTATTCGCTTTCTATCAGTCCTACGGGTAGCTATTCGGAGGAAACCGAGTGGATGTTGGATAGTGGTGCGACCTATCATGTGTGCCCTAGAAAGAAATGTTTCTCCGGTTTTGAGAAGTTGGATAGTGGTGTGGTGTACATGGGTGACAACCGTGCATGTCAGATCCTTGGGATAGGAATAATTCACATCAAGATGTTTGACAGGACAGTTAGGGAGTTATATGGTGTGAGATATCTTTCTTTCTTGGGGAAGAACTTAATCTCAATTGGAGCTTTGGTTGGAGAGGGTCTGAAGGTTCGTGTTGAGGACATGGTTCTCGAGATCGTGAAACTCTTTGATTATGATGAAGGGCGCCAGAAGGAATAACCTGTACTATTTGATTGGAAGTTCGGTAATAGGTAGAGAGCTAGCGACTTCTATTAATTCGACTAGACTACAACATTTGGAGCGTAGTCATTCTAGTATTGATTTGGAGATAGGTGCACATACCTATAATTTGAAGTCCGGTGAACACTTTGATGTGAGCAAGAAGACCGAGGTGAAGTTTGGCACCTATATTCACTGCTCTAAGGGTCTTTTAGGTGGAGTTCACACGGATGTTTGGGGGCCTTCCAAAGAGGCATCATTGGGAGGTAATAGATGTTTGATTTCCTTTGTTGATGGTTATTCTAGGCGTGTTTGGGTTGTAACCAAATCCCCTTTGGATAAAGACCTAGTAGTCTCCAACAGATTGAAGAAGTGTGAGATTGGCAGAAAGGTGAAGATACTTCATTCTGATTTTGGTGGGAGGTACAAGAGGGACTTGTTTTTGCATTCGAGTTGAGCTCACGGTATTTTGAGACACTTTGGTGGAAAGAAAATCTTGGGACAACAAGATGAGATGACAGATTTGATGAGTTATTCCTTGCTGGAGGAGGACCGACGTTTGATGTCGAACATTGATTCTGGTGTTGAGGCTTTGACATATTTGGGTCATCTTGGTCATAGGTTGTCGACTGCTATGATTGGAGGTAAAACTCCATTGGATGTTTGATGTCGAACATTAATTCTTGGTCAATTTGATGCATGCTATGATTGGAGGTAAAACTCCATTGGATGTTTGATGTCGAACATTAATTCTTGGTCAATTTGATGCAGCCGATTTGGTGAGTTGATACCGATATTTAGAGAGTGTTCGTATTCTCGTTTGGGTCTCGACTTGTTGTGGATTGAGTTCGTTGTCATGGTTTTATTTCACTTCGTACTGGACGCAACAAGTGAGACGTTTGATTTGGTTGGTGTCGGCTCAGTTTTAAAAAAACTTCGCCGAGGTGGAGAATTGTGAAACGGCGAAGAAATTGAGGAAAAGAATTGAGAAAAATGTAAAAAATAAGCAAGACAGACTCCACCACACCCTGGTGTGGTGTTTGCCACACCCAGTTGGCATGGTGTGGCAGAATCTGCCCTGTTTGTCATGAGTGTGGTGTCTGCCACACCCTGACGTGACAGAATCTGACCTGTTTGCCATGGGTATGGTGTGTGTCACACCAGCGTGTGGCAGACTCGTTTTAGATTCCTAATCTGTTTGGGATTATGTTTTGTTATAAATAGAGCCACGTTTTTTAGGGTTTTCTATAGATTGATTGGGTAGCTTGAAGGTGATTTTGAGCACAGAAAAGAGAGATCTTTCTGAGCAATTTGTTTGAGGGTTTAGTTTAAGAGATTTGAGAGATTTGTTTGAGAGGTTAGTTGAGTGATCTTGTAATCTCTACTTTGTACTCTCTTTCTCTATAGTGGAAACCCATACCTTTTTGCCCTGTGGACGTAGGCAATTTGCCGAACCACGTTAAACTTTTGTGTTTGAGTTGGTGTCATTATTTTGGATTGTTTTTGGTTTTCTCTCTCTGCGTTTGTGTTTGTTCCGCCGCGCACAACAAAATCAACCAAAACCAACATCAAAACCAAGTTCAACAATAGATTTAAGTAAATATTGCATAACATTCCCCAGTTTGTGCTCAATTTAAGATTTTGTATTTGAATACTAATTGGTTAAACTACTATCGCACCCAAAAATGAACAATATTTCTTCTATTTGAATCCACGTCTAACCATATGGATTAATTTCAAATCACTTAAAAACTTGCGGGGATTAAAACAGAAAAGAACCATATATATACACATATCATATTTTCATGTAATCTTTACATTTCAAGTGGTATTGGGAAATGAGGTCTCAAGTTACATGCATTTGTGCGTTCAATAATAGAATTGTGAAATATGGCTTGCATCTTGATGTGGTTTCAGTTTGTTATGGAATTGAGAAAAATAGTTCTTCCAATTTCATGAAATTTTAAATTAAAGTATATATGTAGGGCTGTTCAAATGGGCCAGCCCGGCCCGGATTTCTAGGCCCCGGTCGGGAAAAATGTCTAACCCGAACCTGGACCCAGGTTGCTTGAGCCGGGCCCGGGTCCGAGTTAGGTCGGCCCGGATTTTTCCTTTGGCTAAAAATTGATTAAAAAAATTAGATTTTTATCATAATTATATAAGTATGCATTAGTATATACTTACATATTAGTTTGCTATATACTGTATGTAAGCCTATATAAGTATATATTAATAACCATATCATCTGCGGTAAGATTGATGATAGCATCGATGACATCATCACATCGGTGCCAGAATCGTCCGATAGGTTGATACCATTCCACCACATGGCTCTCAAGATTTGGCATGGAGGTCTGCTTCAGCAAATCTTGCTCAAAAGGAGATATGGAAGAGTTGCCTCCGATACATGCCAAGGAGGAAGAACACAAGTAGTAATTGAGCAAATCTTAGGCAAATCTTCTTCAATCTTCGATGAGATGGCCTATATAATGTGTTCTCTCCTCATCCTACCTCCTCACACCAATTACCTCAATCTAGCTAGCTCCTCAAATGATGTAGAATGCTTAACAGACAATTTCATTAAGGATTCGGACAATCACGGGCTAAATACAGATTTATACGTATTATTGACTTCCGCAAAGAAACAATCATATCTTCCAACCCAGAAGACGGATTCTAACATATTATATATATAAATCGCCTATCTCTATGAGACGGAGCCAAATAGATTGTCAAAATTTTAAAATATCATCTGTAATACCTAGTTTAGACTAAAATTCAAAAATATCAGTTTTTAGTTTATTTTTAGTAATAAAGTTGGAGTCTATTTAGATTAGGAAATAAATTCAATATTAGAGTCAAATTAGATTAGGAAACAAATTTAATTTTGATTCATGATTTATTTCCTCTATTATAGAAAGTCTTTTTAGGATAGAATTTGATAATACTTCAATCACTAGAATATGAGAGGCAGCATAGAACATATTTTGAGGAGTTTTCAAGTCAATTGCAGATCCACATGCTGTCAGTCACGTAAATATGGTGTGTGAAATATAATTCAAAATTTGATTCAGAAGAAGTCCTAGCCGAATAGGCAAAACAACAGTTGGAGAAGATCAATGCTAAGTACAAGGCAGATACTGATCGTTGTAAGACAAGAAAATTATTTATCAATGAAGCTACTATTCTACCAAATATAAGCTCGGGGTCGAACTTCTTTCAACAAGGGGAGACTAATGTAGGACACTTAACAGACAATTATATGGGGGATTTAGACAATCACGAGCTAAATACAGATTTATACGTATTATTGACTTCCGCAAAGAAACAACCATATCTTCCAACCCATAAGGCGGATTCTGACTAATATGTAAATCTCCTATCTCGACGAGACGAAGCCAACTAGATTATCAGATTTTTAAAATCTCATCAGTAATACCTAGATTTGACTAAAATCCGAAAACAATTAGCTTTTAGTTTATTTTTAGTAATAAAGTTGGAGTCTATTTAGATTAGGAAATAAATTTAATATTAGAGTCAAATTAGGTTAGTAAACAAATTAATTTTGATTCATAATTTGTTTCCTCTATTATATGGAGTCTTTTTAGGATAGAATTTGATACTTTATATTTTTTGTAATTTTAGTCTTATTGTAGTTTTATTTATTTTTTCTATTTAAGAAAAGTCATCTAACCCCAAAGAATAATATCTTTTTATCAATAAAATTTCTCTTTTCAATATTGTTTTCGTGGATTTGAATATCGTTCTTTGTGGATTCAGAGAACAATCTTGGTGGATTCCAAGGTTATCACTTCCGCGCTGCGTCATCAAACCCGAACTTTAGTCTTCGGCCATGGCATCCCCACTCGTCGTCCTCCTCTTACCCTTAATCGTAATGATCCTCGTAATCTTCTACCTCCGAGGCCCTAAACGTCTTGCACCAGGTCCCCGCCCACTCCCCATCATCGGAAACCTGCACATTTTAACCTCCTCCCCCCATCGCTTCATTTCCAGCCTCACCAAAACATACGGCCCCATCGTCCACCTCAAACTCGGCTCAACCACATCCATCTTCATCTCCTCCCCTTCCCTCATCGAGAAACTCTTCAAGAACCACGACATTGCCATCTCCAACCGGCCTCCGGCTGAGGCTCTACATATTTTATCTTATGGCTTCAAAGGGTTCGCCTTTACCGAGCATGGAACGTACTGGCGTAACGTTCGTAAGTTATGTGTTCACAATTTGCTTGGTTCGGGCAAGGTTGAGTCATATGAGTTTGTTAAGAGGGAGGAGATCGAGAGTCTTGTTGACTCGTTGAAAGTTGCGGCTGAGGAGAAAGCTGTGGTTGACGTCACTGCGAAGGTTACTTACTTTAACTTAATAATGTGCATAAATGCGTGATACATAGAATTGAATTAAAATAGTTTGTAGACCAGTTGGACATCCTTTCCTCAGCTTGTTTGATCTTCAAGGGATCAGGAGGAGGACGAAGGCGGTGAGAGAAAAGATAGGTCGCTTCTTCGAGATGATCATCAACGAGCATCTAATGTTGAGGGAGAAGGGGCAAAAGAGGAAGAATGATTTTGTGGATGTCTTGTTGGATGCCAAGAATGATATGGGCAATTTGGAGTCGCAAGTTTGCATGAGTAGCATCAAGGCTATACTTATGGTAAGGAAACCATGCATGCACATTCACATGACAATTTCCATCTAGTGGGCGTAGTTGTTTTATGCATTGTTAATGTATTGCCATTTAAATACCTTAAAAAACATCCTTGTTTTGCGCTTATGTACTCTGATTTGTATGACGATGAAACTAACAAAACCGATCTTATATGATACTATAAATATTTTTATTAAACGATATTATGCATGCCAGACATTTTAATAACATTCAGGAATACGACTCGATAATTCGTTGCAGGAGGTGCTCATGACTGCTCTAGATTCAACTTCCTACGGCATCGACTGGGCCTTCACCGAGTTGATAAGGCATCCTAGGATCATGAAGAAGCTTCAAGACGAACTGATGAGAGTTGTGGGCCCTCGTCGAATGGTCGAGGAGTCGGACATACCGAAACTCGCCTATTTGGGGATGGTGATCAAAGAATCACTCAGGCTCCATGGGTTAACTGCCTTCGTCTCCCGCCGCAACAGGATGGACATCTCCCTTGATGGCTACCGTATCCCAGCCGGCTCGAACATCACGTTATGCTCTTGGGCGGTGGCCCGGGATCCGGACTTCTGGCCCAACGCCGAGGAGTTCATACCCGAGAGGTTCGAGAAAACCAGCCCGGAGTTCAAGGGCCATGATTTTCACTATTTTCCGTTTGGATCCGGCCGTAGAATTTGTGCCGGCATGAGCTTCGGGCTGTCGGTGGTGCCGCTGGTGCTGGCCCAGCTAGTTCATTGCTTTGACTGGAGACTTCCGCACGGCGTGTCGCCTTCTGGGTTGGAAATGGATGAGAGGTTTGGGTTTATTATGTCGAGGGTAGCTCATTTGGAGGCTACTCCAATTTCCCGCCTTTCGATTTAATTAGCCAAATTAATTAATGTAGCCGTGAGATTGGGTTATATATTAATAAAGTCGTGACAAGACTAGGGATTTGGATCGAAAATCTTGCAGTTTTAATCTCCTGTATGTATTAGTAAAGAAGATGAATTTGAGTTCTTGAGTGCCATCCGACAAAAGTTGCAGAAACTTTAGTCATCATAACATTGAGTTGCAATTAGAACGCTATAGATACTTCACTCATACCTAAGGAGTCGAACCGCTGGATTTGTCCGGGGATAGGCTTTGGGCTATCGATTCTTGAAATGGTTTCTCTTCGTCGTCGTCGATTTCTATGTTTTCCTTCTTCATCTTCATATCTGCAAGGCATGTTTGGTTGATAGGAAGTATTAGAAGTAAGAAGTAAATCAAATCTATTACTTTTGAATGAATTTGGAAGTAGCGGAAGTACTTTGTTTTGTTTGTTTCGTTTTTTCGGAATCTTATTTAGAGTATGGAAATATCCATATAATAACAAAAATGATTTTATTCCTAAATCGACTCAATTTAATCTACTTCCGAGGTATTCAGAGCTTTGAGGGGAGGAAAAAGATTCAAAAAGTAGAGATGTCATGTAGGTGCCACATCAACTTCTAAGGAAGTATTGGAAGTAGAGTTTTTAAAGAAACAAATATACTTTTCTTTTCGAAAGTAACATAAATGGTGCCTTTTTCATTTACTTCACATAATTCATAGCACATGGGCTTATAGTTATCCATGGTCATTACATCTCACCAAAATACGGAGTTTATTTCATGCGCATGTTTTCTCTCACGTGCAAATTCTCACGCGTATATCTCACACGTATCATACGCGTTTTTTAATTTACAAATATCCCGTCATTTTTTTTGGTTTATAAATACCCGTTATTATACGCGCATGCCTCTCTAGTTCCGATTCGTTTATTTTTTGTTTCCATTCCTCACCATTTCTTTATTAGACGAAGTAAATTAGAGGAGGAGAACTCCTCCTCCAACAAGAATCATCTCCTCAAACAAAGAATCATCTCCTCAAAGGTCTCCGTTCGCATCTTCTAAATAGTTATTATTGCTATTTTTTAAATTTATGTATTGAGTTTGGGTCCGAAAATTAGGGCTGTAAATGGCTGTAATCTATATTATATTTATTGTTGTAAATATAAATACAATGAATGTGGACATTACTAGAAGAAATCTCTTCACCTACTTGTGACTTTTAGTATTCCCTTCCACATCTATATAATGTAATCCATGGAAGACAAAATGTATGGAGAAATGAAGATGAATAAAATGAGATGATCACTTTCTCCCTATCTCTTCTCTTGTCTATTTACATTTACAATTCATGTTCGATTCTTACTTATGATATGTGATGTATGTAGATATAACAACAAGATTACAACACGTTATCAGCACGAGTGGCTCTAACCGGTTCGTGATCATCGGTTCGTAGTAATAGATTTTTAGGTATACACCTTCTGCAAGGTAATAATACATTCGGCCTTTGTCTATTTACATAGTATCAAGCTTTCCGTCGAATGATTATGATTATATTTCAGAATTTAAGCTTCTCCAGTTAACTTCGTGAAAATTAACACAGTGGACTGTCTTGTTCGTCAATTTCAATTTACGCATGCATGCATATACTGATGCATACACAGGCATGTTTTTGGACAAAGGTAGATAGGTGGCATGCTGAAAATGTTATTATGATTATATTTCAGAATTTAAGCTTCTCCAGTTAACTTCGTGAAAATTAACACAGTGGACTGTCTTGTTCGTCAATTTCAATTTACGCATGCATGCATATACTGATGCATACACAGGCATGTTTTTGGACAAAGGTAGATAGGTGGCAAGCTGAAAATGTTGTGTTTCACTCTAGAAAAATTGAAACAAAAACATATGCAGGTCACAAGCAAATTGGTTTTACTGGTGACTTGGAGAAAAGGGAAGTTTAATGTATTCTTGTCCCACAATAATGCCTTTAACATAGTAGTTGAAACAATTGCTTTGGTATATTGAGCGCATTATTTTCAATACATGTTGTCTGTCGTTTCGCACCAATTAATTATGAAGCTAACTTTGCACTAAATTGAATCTGTGCCCTTCTAACTTTTATCTCGACAAAATGAAAGACTTGGTTTTTTCCCAAGTTAGTTGAGAATAATTGAATTTTTTTGAATAATTGAACAATTTGAATCTTATTATCATTGGATATGTTATTAAGCATAACACTAGTTTGTGAAAGAAGGCAGTTTGTTTCGCTGTCATCTATTTCAAGATTTTGTACATATAAATGATTATATTTTTATTCCTGTTAATTGAGAATTAATCTCGTTTTGGGATCGGGACTCAAGAGATGTTTTTCAAAATATGATTATTTGTTACTTATGGAAAGACATTAGTCAGTAGTTTATTACACATGAAATCATCCTATAAATAAACCGCTCATCAGGAATTATTGCTAACGAATACATGTCAGGAGCGACTCACAGACTGTGAAGTCTATTATTCTATTAAGTATTATTCTCTTGTGTCCCTAGCTATGTTATATTCACTTCCAACACCACAAAAGGTGGCCTAGGGCTAGATTGTAGCCTAGAAGTTTATGTAGCCTACTATATTTGATGAAATGCTTAAACCATAGCCCAGAAGTTTATGCATCTTATTATATTTCACTGTGACTTGTGCCTCATTATTTCAATGAGTTACTGAATTTCCTTCATTTCACATTTTCTTATGTCATTAAATTTAAATTTCTAAACCATTGATGGATGGCTAGAGCCTAGGTCTTAGATGCTTGCTTAGCTTACTTTTTGGAAACTTTAGAGTATCTATTTAACGTTTGAATACTTCCAATCAATTACTACTTATGGATATAATATTGAAAGGGAACCTCTTTCACATTTTAATTAAGGCAAAACAAGGTGAGAAACATCATGCTAGTTTGCCAGAAGCAAACATTTGAAAGATAACATTTATGAAAATCTTTAGAAAAAAAAAGAACTAAAATGTGAATATTTCTAATTTCTCATGCATTAATCTTTCTTCCCCATGATTAGTGCAATGTGATATATGATAGTAATTATTACTTGTCTTTGGCCTCGAATGTTCATTTTTACTGGACACCCTTGTGATTTTTGCACGATTATATCTCTTGATTCTTTAAGTATCTTTGTCCAGAAAACAAACACTTTCAAATTTTCTAAGACGTGAAAAATTAAATGCCTCAATAAAAAAATATTCACTTTTTTTGGGCTATCCCAGAAGGATCGATTTGATCTATGGAAGCCAATAATTTGATCGAAAAATTCTTTTCCCTATTCCACGTAAATAATATTGTACTCCAGCAGCAGTACATGACCAAGAATTACACTTAGCATTCTGAATTGATATCTACATTAGTAGTCACATAGAAGCACAATCAATTGATGATTAGAAATCACAATGTCAGACTAGTTGGCTTACGAGTTGTGTTTGTATCACATGCTACAATTCAGAAAATTACTTATACGCGTGGACAAGGGGGAGGCTATAAACATAGTAGGAGATCTTATCCTGTAGCCATTTTTGGATTTTAAACCCTCGACTGAATACAATTCAACAAGTAACCTTGTAATCTTACAATAGTACAACTAAAAGCATTATGAACTAATCCTTGTATTAGTAGTTGTTAAAAACACAACCAGTTGTTGTGAGACACCATAATGCAAGTTTAATTGGTTCAGTCGTAGTGCCTGAAGCACATGTCATAATTCAAATTAATATTCATAAGCTCGAACGAGGGGGAGGTAGTAGATCTTATCGAGGTGGTCAAGGTAAACTATTTGGTTTCTCTATATTTTTTATCTTGATTTTTGCTTTAAACTCTTATAAACCTATGTGGTTTTTATTCATATGTGTATATTATAGAATTTGTCTGACCTAAAATACACCATGTTGCGATGAGTTTGAGTTTTAGGGACCCAAATTCTTAAATTCAGGCATGAGCGATTGGGTCATCTTGGGAAAAATATGATTTGTCGGATTTCCTTAACTTAAATGAGGCATTCAAACCAAATCCGACCAACTGCATATCACAAATTTTCCCCCTTTATCTAATACGTGGTGAAGAAGCAAAACATTTCCCATCTGCGTATTATTTATTTGCAGTCCATGTTTCTATATCACCACCATAGCATACCTCTATGGGACCTCGGTGAAGGTACATACATTATTTATAAAACTCCGTTAATAATTTAGTACCTATGGCCCATGTTAGGGGATCAATTTATAATTTGGTACGCTGACTGCGTTTTTATTGAAGATCAATTCTCAACATTAGGGGGAGATTAGTGCCCAAAATACAAAATAATGTCAAGATCTTCAATATTTATATCCACGTACTAGTCAAACTGAACCAGAAGTTCACATGATAATCTGCTAAGAAAAGAGTGACTAAGCCCCATATTCATGTTGAGTATATCATTGATGATTTGGTATGCCAGAAGCATATTGTGCCAGAAGCATATAAAAAAAGATAAAAGTCCGCGGCAAACTAAATTATATATAGAAAGACAGTCACTCCCATAACCTCCAGAAGAGGTTCATCCTGAAGATGGAATCTCCAGTAAAGTTGCACGTGCTTGATAATCACAATACTGGAGACGCGGAACGACCAAATCCAATTGTTAAGGGAAATGACGAGGATTTGGTTGACATAAAATAAGAATTAAAGTGGCCACGAATTTGTGAAAAAGGAAAAATATATAATATCAATATAAAAGTTATCGACAACATAGTTGCCTCTACAGTTGCTCTTACTATCTCTGAAAATAATCTGGATCCAGAACCTAAGTCGGTAGTAGAGTGCTTGAAGCATTCGGACTAGGTGAGATGGTCGGTAGTAGAGTGCTTGAAGCATTCGGACTAGGTGAGATGGAAAGTGGCAATTGAGGCTAAGCCGAACTTGCTAAAGTATTTTGAACCTGTAGTTCATATATCCATGCGGGATATAATGAGTCTTCGTAAGAAAAATAAATGAGAATTGTAGGGTGGTGAGATATAAAGCGAGATTCATAGCTCTA